AAAAAATGGGCCAAAGATCTAAACAGACATTTCTCCAAAGAAGACATACAGATGGCTAACAAACACATGAAAAGATGCTCAACATCACTCATTATCAGAGAAATGCAAATCAAAACCTCAATGAGGTACCATTACACGCCAGTCAGAATGGCTGCTATCCGAAAGTCTACAAGCAATAAATGCTGGAGAGGGTGTAGAGAAAAGGGAACCCTCTTCCACTGTTGGTGGGAATGTAAACTAGTACAGCCGCTATAGAGAACAGTGTGGAGATTCCTTAAAAAACTGGAAATAGAACTGCCATATGACCCAGCAATTCCACTCCTGGGCATACACACGGAGGAAACCAGATCTGAAAGAGACACAGGTACCCCAATGTTCATCGCAGCACTGTTTATAATAGCCAGGACATGGAAGTAACCTAGATGCCCATCAGCAGACGAATGGATAAGGAAGCTGTGGTACATATACACCATGGAATATTACTCAGCCACTAAAAAGAATTCATTTGAAATCAGTTCTAATGAGATGGATGAAACTGGAGCCCATTATACAGAGTGAAGTAAGCCAGAAAGATAAACATCAATACAGTATACTAACGCATATATATGTGCTGGGGTCCAGCCTCAGCAAGATCCAGGGGTACCCTCAGGATGAATGGCATCAGCGAGAAAAGGAGAGCGAGAGAAGACACATAAGACCAGCCTTGATAGGGCCAAGTCTGCAAGGGAGAGAGAGAGAGAGAGAGAGAGAGAGAGAAAGGTCAGAGAGAATGACCAGACGGGGGTGTTTGCAGGGTCTGGCAGAGTCTTGCAATGCTTTATTTTTTATCGTGGCTTTTATACCCTAAATTAATACATTTCTAAGGGGAAAATAGTTTAACATTACATCAGCTTGTTCTTCACGAAACCAGAGTGTTTTCTGCCTACTTCTTTGTTTATGAGGGTCTTGTACATTATCTTCTGGTCTTGGGGCCTATTGACATTTTATGACCTGGGTGAATGCAAAGCTGTTTTCTGTAATCTATTCTTTAATGAACACAAAGGTCAGTCCTTTGGCAGAAGTTATCAGTTAAATTTATCTAAAAGGTTTACCACACAAAGACTCTGCAGCTCCAGTGAGGCAGCCCCTGTTTAGCATTTCTGGTTAAAATTAACAATTTTAAACTCTTATATTTCTAAATCTTTAACTACAACCACTTTTAGAATAATATTTTTGTGTTCTCTAATAGGGCTTCCTCACCCCTGAAGGGCTCTGTGCCTATTAGGGCCTTTATGTGATCAGGTTCTTTATGCTGTTTTATGATTAGGGTATTATAAGCAATCATGCATATTAGTACCAAGGTCATAAACGCATTTGCCAAACAAACTAAAATACCAGCAAAGGAGTTTAAATGAAAACACTCCTTTCATCCTGGATAATCTCATAAAATACCACCACCAGGGGAACTTATTGATTAAAGTTCTAAACTGATTCTTATATGGAAAGAGATCGGGGAAGGCCTTCTGCCTGTGTCACAGAAATTAGGGAGTAGTCTATTGAAGCAAGCATCAGAAAGACAGATATCATCTTTAAGGTGAGCCCTGGGGACAACTTTTCGGAATCCCTGAAAACCTGATCTGCCTTGCCCGTCAGGTCTTCTCCTCATGACCTTGTCATGGCTGGGATCTCGTGTGCTGGCTCCCAACATATATGGAATTTAGAAAGATGGTAACGATAACCCTATATGCAAGACAGAAAAAGAGACACAGATGTATAGAACAGACTTTTTGACTCTATGGGAGAAGGCGAGGGTGGGATGATCTGAGAGAACAACGTCGAAACATGTATATTATCAAGTGTGAAACATATCGCCAGTCCAGGTTGGATGCATGAGACAAGTGCTTGGGGCTGGTCCACTGGGATGACCCAGAGGGATGGGATGGGGAGGGAGGTGGGAGGGGGATTCAGGATGGGGAATACATGTAATTCCTTGGCTGATTCATGTCAATATATGGCAAAAACCACTACAATATTGTAAGGTAATTAGCCTCCAACTAATAAAAATAAATGGAAAAAAAATGAATATTAGACAATTTGCTTTTTAAAAGTCCCTTGACCTTTCCTAACACCTAAAATTTTAATTGTTCTTCTTGCCACTCTCCTCTTCCCTTCTCTGTCCCTTCCTCTCCCTTGACTCCACCCAGTGCTTTGTAAGGTTTCTAATTTTGTCTCTTAGGCATGCAAGAATACTACAGATTTCTCTCATTTCTTTATGCATGGTGATTCAACCCTCCCTTTTTTCCGCTTTCTCTTTCAAAAGCATGATGTCCAAAAACAATGGAAATGAATCTTCTTGTAGCCCCTGAGATCAGAGGTCTGAGACCAACGTTGTGGACAGACCTGCTGTCCTTCTAGAGTCTCTCAGGAGATTCAGTTCCTTTCCTCTTTTAGCTTCTCCAAGGTTGTGGACAGACCTGCTGTCCTTCTAGAGTCTCTCGGGAGATTCAGTTCCTTTCCTCTTTTAGCTTCTGGTGGTTGCCAGCATTCCTTGGTGGAAGGTCACATCACCCCAATCTCTGCCTCCATCTTCACATCACCTTCTCAACTGTATGTCTCTGTCTCCTCTCTTATTAGGAACATGTGACTACACTTAGACTTGAATGATTCAGGATAAACTTCTTTCATAATTCTTAACTCAATTAGATCTTCTGCCCTATCAGATAATATTCACAGAGTTCCAGGAATTAGGAAGTGAATATATTGGCAGATTTGGGAGGGGTAGGGAAGAGGGGGGAATTTTTCTGCCTGCCACAGTCAGCCTTATCTGTTTTTCTTTAAATATCCCCTTTTGTTTAGAAAATAAACTGTAAAACTGACCACAGTACGGGGCTGCAAAATGTCTTAACTAATTCCAAACAACTGGTATCATGAAAACAATCAAAACGGTTTAAAAGGTTACATTTAACTATGCTTTTCTTCCATTTTAGTTGACCTTCGTCTAGAAGTTTTCTTTTTTATTCTTAAATTACAAGACAGTCCCCACAGTAATCACAGATGCCATCCCCTAAGTTATTTTTTTGTATAATTTTAATGAAAAACATGGTATTGTAACAATTATACCGTATTTTATATAAGCTATTATCTCTCCTTGATGGACATGGGTTTGGGTGGACTCTGGGAGTTGGTGATGGACAGGGAGGCCTGGTGTGCTGTGGTTCATGGGGTCACAAAGAGTCAGACATGACTGAGACTGAACTGAACTGAACTGTCTATATCTAATAGTTACTCCCCAGCCAGACATACTGTTATCCCTATTTTGAAAATTTCTTTCAATGTAAAGCAATATTTGTCTTGAGAAAAAAGTGGTAAAAGTCAAGGTTACTTACCAGATCCCCAGCAGGAAGTGTGGGACCCTTTCTATCTCTGGTGTGGCCCATCACTTTGACTTCTGGTCGACTCTCGCCCTCTCTACCAAAACACCTTCAGAAAAAAGACTCACTGATGTATTTACAGAGGAATGTGTAAACAGCTGATGCCACCGCAGTGAGTCTTCCATCGTAAAGATAGAGTGCTTATAGAAATGGACTTTGAAATCAGAGAATCCTGACTGAATGCCAGTTCAGACATTTACCAGCTATATGACACTGAGTGTGTTATTTCATTTTTCTGAGTATCACTCTTCATACTTAGCTTTTGAAAGATTAATGAAATTTCTTAAACAAATAAGCAAAAGGCCTAGTAAAAAAAAGATACTCAATAAATGTTATCTATTAGCTCTTTTTATTATGAGGCAGAGGCTTAACATTACCACCATCCCAATGAAGAATTTCAGATGTCAGTAGACAAGAGTATGGGAGGGATGCTAGGGCAGGGGAAATTTTTCTTCCTTTCTATCTCCAGAATCATACTATACCACATGTAGTTACTTTTCCCCCTTTTGACTGCATGTTTAATGTATAAAAATGTGTACTGGAGTGTTTAGTATATGAAATACCATATGTGGCAATAAACTGTGTGATAACAATATATCAAAAACTTTTGTTATAATTAACAAAAATATTAAGTTGACTTAAACAGTAGAGAGAATTTACTGTTTCACCCAATCAGAAAATCCAGAGATGGGGCAGGGTATAATCACTTTGATTTGAGTTTCCCTTTTATTTCTCTGAGATATTCTAAGGACTGCAGTCCTCCGTGTCTGGGTTATTTTTAGATTGGCTTCCTTTTTGGTAGCCGGATGGCTTCTAATAATAAATGGAGCTGTCCGCCCCATTGAACTGAAGTCCCAAACCACTCTGAGAGGACAATTCATTTGTCTGTCCCTGAATCACTGTGTCCAAGTGACTGCTATGCATTGATTGATTACAGCTGAGGTTATATTCACTTGTTGAATATTTGTTATGTCATATGCTTGCTTTCTGAAACTCTCTCATACAACCTTGGGAAATCAGAGAGTTACCCTAGAATCTGAACCTGAAACTAGAGGGAAAAGAAATAGGATATACACAGAGTCCACTCTGGCAAGGGTGACGGCAGTGGCAATAGCTGCAGACATTTAGCAGAAACTAGCAGGGACAGCAAGCCGCTCTAGTGCAAGCATCAGGCTCTAGATGCAACAGCCTCTGTCTGGTGGCAGCCATTGATGGTAGCAGCCATGTCTTCACAGGACCAGTTCTATAGCTCAACTTTGTTCCCAACTACATAGCCTGCAAGACTAGCTCTCTAGTCATCCTAGGGATTTTAAATAAATCATCTTATTTTTCATTTGATGTTAACCTGAATACATTTCTATTTTGGCTGGGAAACAGCATTACCCTGAGTTCTAAGTCAGTCAGGGCCCATCCCTGGAGCTGGGAACCAGATTAACCTCACCCAAACCACATAGCTGCTTTGCAGTGGGGAGAGGAGGAAAGGGTATTGGGGTAGCCACCACTAAAAAAGAATATTAATGGTGTTTAACATCAACAAAACAAACTTGCTAACTTGTTCTTTGCTTTCTTCTACCATTAAAGTAACATCAGTGACATTTCTGAAACAGAGGAAACTCTGATAATTATTGAAGCTATGAGAGAAGCTAGCTTACCGAAATTTCTTCCTAAAGATGTCCTACTTTTTGAAAAGATTATGAGAGATGTTTTTTGTGGAGCGACAGTTTCGAAAGTAAATCAGATTGTCTTGGAGGTAATAAAACCTTTGAAAATCATTACAAATCATTTATATGTGGAATATCCTTTAAGATAAGAAACTATAATAGATGTGAATTTGAATGTTAGTTAGTCCTGAAATTCTCTATTCATGTTATAACTTGGGACACAAAAATACTTGGAGATATATATTTCCCATGAATGGAGAATTTTCAGTACATCTTGGCATAATGGAAACAAGAACAAATTGTGTACCTTTAAGGAAGGAAGGCCGTTAACACTTTTTTTGCTCCTCAATTTTCTCATCTTTTAAGTGAGAATGATACTGTCTACTCTTCCTACTTTCAAAAGGTGCTTAGAGAATCAAATTATATCAGAATTATGAATAAAGACTTTAATGTGTAAATACTTTGTGATCATTAAAATGACACAATTTCAAAGCCATGTATAGGGCTTCCATGGTGGCTCAGATGGTAAAGAAACAGAGCCTTTTATATTTTCTCTTATATATATAAAACCATACAGTCATTGCCTTAGTTTAGGTAGGATCTCAGTGTCTTCTGTTACTATGATATAACCTCCTGCTACTCCCTCCATTCTAATATGTTGTCATATGGCCACCAGAGTTGCTTTCCTAAAACATATGTTTGGTCACATCAGCAAAGCAGCTGTTGAAGCAATGTTGCCTCTAATACAACAGTCAAATTAATTATCTTGGCCATAATGCCTTTCACAATTTGGTCAGACCAGGTTATTTTTTTCATACTGAGCATTAAAGTAAGAAACTAGGAAAAAGAGCAATAAAACAAGTTATCTGAAATGAAACCGTTGAAAATAATGAAGGAAAGGGCAGAAATCAACCAAATAAAGAATAAAAACTATAGGAAAAACAACAAAACCAAAGTTATCAATTTGATTATATACAGACTTCAAGCAAGAATGATTAATAATTGAAACAAATAATGATATTAGAGATTTAAAAGTGATGAGAACATTATGAACAATCTAAGTTAATAAATGTAAAGCTATAGACATGTTGCATTAAGCAACATGGAATGGGAAGTGGTCACTGAGCAAAAACAATTTTTAAAGATACTCAAAGCAACTTCTTCCCATCCCTGCTCCCCAAAATTCAGACCCAGATGGTTTTATAGTTTTAATTGGATATTTTATGCTATAATTCATATATGTATCCTTTTGAGATAACCTTTTTTCAGATTTCCCATATCACCTAATAAATGGCTTTTTTTTGGTAAGGGTTTCATATGTACATTTTGTGCTTACTGGATATAAAGTTATATACATAGCCTATTAATTATATTTTTCAGAACTTGATATCTATTTTTACTGATTTATCAGTTTCTGGAAGGGGTATATCAAAATCTTAACTGAAATTATTGATTTATCTATATGTCTTGCATGTGTGTCAATTGTTTATACAATTTGACATTATAAGTTGTGTATATTTTTGTTTATTCTTTAACCACTATACTCTATCTTTTTCTGGACCATATGCTATGTCTTGCTTTAAGACCTATTTAGTCAGATATTAAAATTTCTATCCAACTTTTTTATGTGGATTCGTATTTTTAGAATCTCTTTTTCCATTCTTGTATTTCTCAAACCTTCTATGTTTCTCTGTTTGAACTATAAGTCTTATGGGAGATGTATCAGTGGACTTTGTTTTCTTGTAATTCAGTCTGTGATTGTCTGTCCTGTGTTGATTTTAACTTTTTATATTCATTACAGATTCTGTTATCTTAAAATTCATTACTGTTATAATATTTATTTAATTTTCTTTTCTTCATTGTTTTCTCTCTTGCCCTGCTCTCTGTGGGATAGATTGAATTTTCTTCTGTTTATTCTCTATGGTGCCTCTCTTAACTGAAGACTGACATCCAGCATTATTTGTTCATATTTATTAATTTTTTCAATATCATATTTTCCCTTTCAAAACAAGTACTTTAGCATACTCTTTGGTCTTCCCCATACTCTCATTCTTATATATGTCATATTATAAATGTTATGGGAATTTTTTTTCCTTTTCCTTGGACCTAGTTTTATAAACACGTTTGCCCACACAGGCATGTGCATGCCTTTAGAATGCTGTAAACTAACAAGGTTTTTTATAAAACTTTCTCTTCATATCTCTTATAGACGTCAATGTATTCATTTTTTTAGTACTTCTTCCAACAGTGTTTTTCAAGTAGGTTTTGTGTGACAAAACTTTGGCAACTATTTCTGATAGGCCTTTATATTTAGATTGCAGTTTGGCTGGTTATAAAATTCTAAGTTTAAAGTTCTTTTCATTTAATACATTAAAATATTTAACATCTTTAAAATGTTATTACATTTTCCCTTGCTCCACTCTTGAAATGGTCAGTGTCACTTTAGTATATGTTCCTTTGTAGTGTGTCCGTTCTTTCTCTCCAGAAGCTTTTAAATTTTTTATTTGCCTTTGATACTCTTAATCTCAGTATAAATTCTCTTGTTATGAATTTTGGTATTCTATAAGCCCTTTTAATATGTAATTTTGAAGAAGACATATAGTGTAAGATTCTTTGTTCCACATGATTAAATGAGTTAGACTTTTCCAGACCAACAAGTTGCAGGTCCAGACTCTAAACTATGCTTAGTTTTTTTTCATAGCACTTATCTTTATTTTACATTTTTTAGATTTTCTTTGTTTCATTATTTTAATGAAAATGCAGTTTGATTTTTTTCTTTTTGCTGTGTGGTTTCTAGGAGATAGACAGTGGATATTTGCATCTAAGTTTTGCCTGCATTTTGAAGATTTCATTTGCATTTTAAAGATTTTTATTTTGCTATAAAAAAGGAGGAAAATGTCAGTTGAAAAGTTTTCCTTCTCTGTCTTAATGTGAACATCTTTCTATTCTTCTCAGAGAGAGTGTGCAAATTCCCTACTCTCCTTCTTACAAGTTTTAAGTCCTTCCAGTGTTACCTTTAACATTTTTCAAGGCACAGCTAAAATAAATAACATTGGCATTATGATAACATTTCTACATGTAGATTAATGATTTTACTTTTGAACCTGATTATTTATTCACCTTTTAATCAGTTTTACAAGTTAATTTATGGTTTATGGAAAATTTTTATATATGAGAATATTAATTTATTCAGCTACTTCCTCCTTTGTATATTTTTACATTGATAAATATGCAAGCTCCCAACTGTTTAATAAAATGTTACCAAATTGTAGTATATGGCTCATAGAAATGGCACAAAGATAATTTAAAGTTATGATTTTAATATTAAGTGTGTAATAATTCAGTCTCTTATTTAATGGTGTATTTTTGATGGCTTACACAATGACCAATCAATCATATATAACACACCCACATAGGGAAACATGTTATTAAAAAAATACCCTGTAGGTGTACTGTTTATACTTCTTGTTCATCTGTGATACAAGAATCTGAATTGCATGTGGAATAAGTTGGAATCTATTCAACTTATTCACATTACTGTCTTTAGCAGCATTCAACATGTATAGGGGTCATTATCTCAGAGCAACCAAAGGATAACCTGAGAATTACTAAAACCACATCATGCTATAGGAACTACATATACTTTGTCATCCAGTTAACTCCAAAGAATATCTTATATAGCCATAAATATTTTAGGTCAGGATTATGATTTTATTTCAAAACCTTCACCAGGTGGGATGACCCGAGTATATCTGAATATGTCTTCTTTTATTATCGCAGTTCTTCTGATCTTCAGTGCATCCCATGCTATCTTTATTCCACACTTGTGTGACTTTTCACTTGTATCCAGGCAGTATCTAGGTTTGTATTAGTGACTGCAGAGATTCCTAGTTTCTACATCTGAAACTGCAAGCAGTGCAGGCCATAAGTGGGGAGTCTCATCAACTTTGTTTGGAAGAGGTTGCTTTTCAAAAATAATTTCCTACCTCCAGTTAGCCTTTCATAGGGTCTATATTTCCTCTGTTTGTACAGTCTTGCTGAGTGTCTGTGTTTTCTTTGGCTGCTTCCCATTTTAGGAATGCAAGGAATGAGAAATGGTGTAGGAGAGGCTAGTGAGAAAAAGGATAAATCATACTTTATCTGTAGACATAGTTACCAGTTATATCAACACTGAAGTAAATCCCACTTTAGGAGGAATCATGCTGCCCTTATATTTCCTGTGTTTAAATATTAAATATCTTTCAAAGGTGCAGCCACTTCCTGGGATGATCTAATGTATAACCACATCAAGTTTTTCATTTTGTAAATTTTGCTATGTTTCATCTTGTAAATTTTGCTATCTTAGAATATTCTTAACACTGAAACAGTAAAACAGTCATTACAAAATTGAAAATCAACTTTAATGGTGATTGGAGTTAAAAAAAGATTAACAAATAAGAAAAATAAAAATACTTATCATTGTTCTCCTTTCAAAAAATTCCTCAAAGATAGAGAATCTTTTACCTTTTCTTCACTGTAGGATAATTAGACAATTATACTGTGGTGACAGCTAGTTCTTAAATGCATCATAAGCATGACTTAAATTGGGGGAGGATCTATGAATTTGCTACCTGGGGGTCTGTGAGCATAAAATTTTCTGTGTATTTTATTTTGGTGGGGGAAGTAATGTTTTCATTATTTTGGGGTTAGTAAACTAAAAAATTAAGAAATCCCATCTTAAAGTGCTGTATTTGCTACCTAGTTAAGAGAGATTTAGTAGGATTACATATTAAGAGTTTAATTTGCAATGAAATTTAAATTAATGCATTTTTTTTCTTTAAGAAACTAGTAGAGATTGCAACACAACAGTTGGGCTTACAACAGTGGCCAGCTCAAAAAGAGAGAATCATACAGTTTTATAATCAACTTCAGGTAAGTGTGGAATGTCATGTTAGCAATTTGCTCCTATGTTTAAATAGGTGTGATCCAGGAGAAAAGAAAATTATGATAAAAGATATCTACTATAATGTTCTTCAAAGTAAAGTGGTTTGTTAATTAACTATTTATCTAGACTTGTTATTTGATCCCTCACTTTCAGTTCAGTTCAGTCGCTCAGTCGTGTCCGACTGTTTGCAACCCCATGAACCACAGTACTCCAGGCCTCCCTGTCCATCAGCAACTCCTGGAGTTTACCCAGACTCATGTCCACTGAGTCAGTGATGCCATCTAACCATCTCATCTTCTGTTGTCCCCTTCTGCTCCTGCCTTCAGTCTTTCCCAATGTCAGGGTCTTTTCAAATGAGTCAGCTCTTCGCATCAGGTGGCCATAATATTGGAGCTTCAGCTTCAACAGCAGTCCTTCCAATGAACATGCAGGACTGATTTCTTTTAGGATGGACTGGTTGGATCTCCTTGCAGTCCAAGGGACTCTCAAGAGTCTTCTCCAACACCACAGTTCAAAACCATCAATTCTTCTGCGCTCAACTTTCTTTATAGTCCAACTCTCACATCCATACATGACTACTAGAAAAACCATAGCCTTAACTAGACAGACCTTTGTCGACAAAATAATGTCTCTGCTTTTTAATATGCTGTCTAGGTTGGTCATAACTTTCCTTCCAAGGAGTAAGCGTCTTTTAATTTCATGGCAGTAAAATTTCATGCAGTGATTTTTGAGCCCAGAAAAATAAAGCCTGTCTCTGTTTCCATTGTTTCCCCATCATTTGCCATGAAGTGATAGGATAGGATGTCATGCTCTTAGTTTCTTGAATGTTGAGTTTTAAGCCAGCTTTTTCACTCTTCTCTTTCAGTTCTATCAAGAGGCTCTTTAGATCCTCTTTGCTTTCTGCCATAAGGGTGGTGTCATCTGCATATCTGAGGTTATTGATATTTCTCCCAGAAATCTTGATTCCAGCTTGTACTTCATCCAGCTGGGCATTTGGCATTATGTACTCTGCATATAAATTAAATAAACAGGGTTACAATGTATAGCCTTGATGTACTCCTTTTCCAATTTGGAACCAGTCTGTTGTTCTATGTCTGGTTCTAACTGTTCCTTCTTGACCTGCATACAGGTTTCTCAGGAGACAAGTAAGGTGGTCTGGTATTCCCATCTCTTGAAGAATTTTCTATAGTTTCTTGTGATCTACACAGTCAAAGGCTTTGGCATAGTCAATGAAGCATAAGTAGATGTCTTTCTGAAACTCCCTTGCTTTTTCAATGATCCAGTGGATATTGGCAATTTGATCTCTCTTTCCTCTGCCTTTTCTAAATCCAGCTTGAACATCTAGAAGTTCTAGGTTCACATACCATTGAAGCCTACCTTGAAGAACTCTGAGCGTTACTTTGCTAGCATGTGAGATTAATACAATTGTGTGATAGTTTGAACATTCTTTGGCATTGCCTTTCTTTGGGATTGGAATGAAAACTGACCTTTTCCATTCCTGTAGCCACTGCTGAGTTTTCCAAAGTTGCTGGCATATTGAGTGCAGCACTTTCACAGCATTGTCTTTTAGGATTTGAAATAGCTCAACTGGAATTCCATCACCTCCACTAGCTTTGTTTATAGTGATGCTTCCTAAGGCCCACTTGACTTCGGACACCATTATGTCTGGCTTGGTGAATGATAACACCATCATGGTTCTCTGGGTCATTAAGATCTTTTTGGTATAGTTCTTCTGTGTATTCTTGCCATCTCTTCTTAATATCTCTTGCTTCTGTTAGGCCATACCATTTCTGTCCAAGGAGGCAGGAGGGGATGTCAGGCTATATACAAGTTTGCAATAAAGGGAGCAAGCAATGTGAATATCAAAGATCAGGTATCAAGTTAAGGGATTTAGCATTCTGTATATGGGAAGATGCAAGCCTCTGGGCTCCTTGAATTCATTCGTTTCATATGAACCTCAGCTATCAGGGGCCAATCCTGTTTCCTTGTCCACCTTGAAGAGTGGCAGATGGCTGCTTCTTGCATTTTCCAAGCTCCTCAGCAGTCATTATGGGGGGTGGGGGGCTGGGGGGGCAGGGGTGGGGTCACAACATCCACTGGATCACAATTTTGGGGAGCCATCATTCACATTTGAAGGCCAGAAATCACTGATGGCTATGACATTTCTTGCTTGTTGATATGGCAGCAGGTATTTTCATTTCACACTATTTAGAAATATTCATGGTATACAATTGTACAGGAGACTTTGTTAATGCAGTAATCTCTATTGATCTTCTTTCATGGCTTGTGTTTTGTGTCCTATTTTTAGAAATCTTTTCTATCCTGTCTCATCAAGGTTTTGTCAGTAATTTTTCTGAAATTTTTAGATACTTGCATTTCTCACGTTTAAGTTGTCTGTGGTTTATTTTTCATTAAAATATCAAGTAGGAATTTAGTTTTCCCTGTGTGAAAGTGAAAAGAGGAAGTTCCAGCCTGACTCTTTGTGACCCCATGGACTGTAGCCTGCCAGGCTCCTCTGTCCATGGAATTCTCCAGGCAAGAATACTGGAGTGGGTTGCCATTTCCTTCTCCAGGGAATCTTCCCAAGCCAGGTATCAAACCTGACCCAGGGATCAAACCCAGGTCTCCTGCATTACAGGCAGATATTTTACCATTTGAGCCACCAGGGAAGCCCTTTCTCTGAATGGATAACCAGTGTTCCTAAGACTTCTTTACTGATGTATTATTTCTATCATATAGGAAGTTTTCACATATAAAAGGATAGATTTCTTCTATACTTTATTATTTGTCCTGTATTTCTTTATGGCAACACCATACAGTCTTTATAACAAGTCTTTATATTTGTTGGCACCACTTAGAGTCTCTGACTGGGCCTGAAAATTAAACTGACAAAAACAGGTAAACAGGAGAACATACACATTTTATTGAATTTTTATATGTACACGAGAGTCTTCACAAAACAATGAAGACCTCAGAAAGTGACCAGAAGAGGATGCTCTTTTACCTTTTAGGCAAAGAAATGTAAATTTGTGAAAAATTGACACTCAGAGGCCGTATAATCTCTTCTGAGGTGCAGTTTGCATTGGTTTAGGGAGGGAGGCAAGTTAATGGTTGGCTTTTACATAAGAAGTACAGGAATGGTCGTCAGAACTTAATTCCAAATTTATAAAATAGTTCTATGTAATCTCTTATCTGTTTCATGCTGATAATTACTCAGGAAGCAAATGAAAAGAAATAATCTCTTTCTGGGGAAACTCACATTCAGTGGCCAAATTTTCTTGGTAAAGTGTTTGGACAAAAAGAAGGGAAGGGAGATAGAGTCAGAAGGAGTCAGTTTTTGAAAGGCTATTCCAGTGCTCAATAATACCAGATGCCTGTGGATGGTAGGAAGTGTAGAAGGTCCATAAAATTCTTTGACAATCAGCTCATTTTTGAGTGACTCTTGCATTAAAAATTTGACACCATTGTTGTCACGTTGCAAGTGGTCCAGATATTCAAACACATGACACAGATTAGTTTCAACAGATGTGATGGTGGGCCTAGAGTTAGTCAGTCGGATTGAAATATCAGGGCCATAGCTTGAATAGTGTTAATATCACTGAAGCACCACCAGTAGACCCAATAGAGGGGATCAAAGATCTGATGTAGAATCTGCCAGGTGTAAGTGGGGATCATTCATGCCCTATGCAGTGTGGCTTCTCTCACTGAGACAACTGTGCCAACTTTTGGTAGGAGTCATGAGTCTGAAGTTCAGTGGTAGCATCTGCACCAGAAACACACAGTTCTTTATTTTCTGCAATCTGTGATGGTGGACATGTTACAACGTCCAGTGTGATGTTCCATCCAGAAAGCTGTCGTGGCAACCTGGGAAGAGAAATTGATCAGAAGCTTAATTCTAATTCTGAGTAATCTCATCAGAATGAGTCCTCACCATGGGCCCTTGAATGACAGGTAGTTTGATCAACAGCTACCATTTGTCTCCACAGTACAAAGCCCCATGGGATTATCATTAATCTTCTGGTTCTGTAGTTTTCCAAGTGGCACACCAAATAGGCCATCAACAAAATCCCAAGAATTGGAGTTCTTCCCAGGGATCAGAATAAACAAGACTTCGTTTGATTCTCCATAGCTGACCCTGAGGTTGGACATCAAGAGACTTCAGGTTTCAGCTTAGTTGAACCATTAGTAAACCAGACCAAGGCGTTTGTGGAAATCTTTGTGAATCAAGGGTCAATTGAGCCATCAGCTTTGCTTTAGGAGTTTAAGTGGGGTATAAAATTGCTCCCAGAGAAATAGGTGCAATTCTTTCATATAAAGCCATGATGCCCTAGGGCCAGGCTAGCTGCAGTCCTGAATATATAATTTCCATCTGACAAGCAAGGTTTTTTGGACCTTTATCACCTTGCCAGTTATAGAATGGGACTATCAGACCAGAGAATCACAAAGCCTTCATGAAGCTATAGAGGTTGAAATGGAAGTAAAAAGATGTTTTAACTTTATCCATATTTAAATTTTAATATAATACATGTGAGACATTGTTAAAAATAGTTATTTCTTCAATGTTCTTGCAATAGTCCAAAGGAGATGATGAGGGGCCCACTCTGATGTTTAGCATCTGACCCACTCAGTCCATTTGGACTGCTGTAACAAAACACAATAGATTGAGTAGCTTATACAACAGACTTATTTCTCACAGTTCTGGAGACTGGGAAATTCAAGATCAAAGTGCTGGCAGGTTTTATTTCTGGTGAGAACCTTCTACCTGCAGATGGTGAGCTGCAAGACACTTCTCACACTGTCCTCACATAGTAGAAGGAGAGCAAACTCTCGTCTCTCTTCCTTTTCTTGTAAAGACACCATTCCAACATGCAGTCCACCCTCATGACCTCATCTAAACTTGCTTACCTACCAAAGACCCCCACCTCCAATACTACTGCACTGGGTGTTAGGGCTTCAGTATTTGAATGTTATGAGGATATGAAAATTCAGTTCACAACACCAAGGTAAGGCAGGCTATTATGGTTGGGATAAAGAAAAGATGATATCATGCAAAAGTTTTCAAAGAGATAAGAGAATGAAAAAGGCAAGTATTCTACTTTAGACAGTTGGTGCTATGCTGTACTTAGTCACTTAGTCATGTCCGACTCTTTGCAACTTCATGGACTGTAGCCCACCAGGCTCCTCTGTCCATGGGGATTCTCCAGGCAAAAATATTGGAGTGGGTTGCCATGCCCTCCTCCAAGGGATCTTCCCAACCCAGGGATCGAACCCAGGTCTTTTGCATTGCAGGCAAATTCTTTACCGTCTGAACCACCAGGGAAGCACAAGAGTACTGGAGTGGGTAGCCTACCCCTTCTTCCTGACCTAGGAATCGAACTCGGGTCTCCTGCATTGCAGGTGGATTCTTTACCAGCTGAGCTACCAGGGAAGCCCAGACAGTTGGTACCTAGTGGTTTTATTGACTAGATTAAGGAAATAAGAGAAAGAACAAATGTAGGGGAAAAAAGATACAGATTAGATTATGTTGACTTTGAAAATGATGTGTGACATCCAGATGGAAGTATTTAGTAGCACATTGAAATTTCACTCTGGCATTTAGAATCAAAGACTGAGAAAAATGTACAATTTTTAAAGGAGTCATTAGCATTCAGATGATGGTTAAAGATACTCAAATGGATGAAATTGGATAGGGACAATGTGGGGGAGAGAGAGACAAGAATGAATTAAGGAAGACTAACATGGAAAGGACAATCAGAACTCAAAAGAGAAAAAATAGAGAACAGGAAGCCCAGATAAATCTTACTACAGAAGCCAATCACAGAGAAAGACACAGGAGTAAATGAGAATTAAAAAGTGAAATAAACTACTAAATATCAAGAATGAAAATCATTATTTGAATTTTAAAATTGGGAGACTTGTGGTGATTTTAATATTTGCCTAGTCAATAAAACAGAACCCAGATTACAACTGATTGAAAAATAATTTGAATGAATGGTCCATGGATACAGTCAGAGATGTATGTGTAAATAAGAACTTTCAGGTTTCAGCTTTGTTGAATAATCAGTAAACTAAAATTAAACCATAAATCTGCAATTCTGTTTTAGGTTTGTGTTGGTGTGATGTTAGTGGGTCCAACAGGTGGGGGAAAAACAACAGTCAGAAGAATTTTAGAAAGAGCATTAACACTATTACCAGTTGAAGAATTCCTATTGACTGAGGAAAGGGACTCTATTTCACAGGTAAATATTCTACTAAATAAAATGTTTCTCTTTTTGTTCAGGTCTTATTTTATACTTCAGTAATATTTTTTGTTCTCTTTACAGAAGTATGTTTTTTTACTTGTCAAATTTCTTGCTAGGTATTTTGTAGTTAGGAATCATTGTAGTGAACAAGATTTTTTTCATTTGAATCTCAAACTGATAGATGCTAGTGTAAAATAAAATTATAAAATATATATGTTATATTTAGTCATTTTACCTAATTGACTAATAGTTTTAAGTATTTTTTTAGGTAATCTATTGAATTATTTTCATTCTTCAGTTTAATATGGTGTATCACATTTTATTTCTATTTCATTTATTTCAGGCTGATTTTATGATTTATTTCCTTTTACTAACTTTTGGTTTCACTTGTTATTCCTCTAGTTGCTTTGAAATACCTTCAAATGACTATAATTTTTTCTCTTTTCTAATATTTATATATTTTTATCTTATTGCATTGATTAACTCTCCAAGACAATGTTAACTGTAATACTTTGTTCCTTACGTTATCTAAAATACAGTTGTTATGGCAGTATTTAATATGATTTGGCTCTCAGTCTATGATGAGTATTCTCTATCACACATTGAAAATTACCTTTTAGTCTCATTACATTTCAGTTTTTGACTCCTAGAATTTATGAAATGATTTCTCAGCATGTATTTTTAATATTTTATCGGGTTAATTTATAACTTATCTTGATAGACTTACTATTGTTGAATCATCCTTAGATACCTAGAATAACTCCTACTTTTTTAAGACATATTTTTATTCAATATAAAAGTAGACTCCAATAAATAGTGTGTATTTTAATTATCTTACTTAAAGATTCATTGTTGGTAATATAGTCCAAAAGTCTAAGAAACTCAGATTCTCAATTATGTGGATTCTTTTAGTGTGCAATATCCTGCTTCAAAATCATTCATGTGGCAGCTCATAATTCTTTATCTGTTATCAGTAACTGTTAATTCTTAAGCAATTATTATAATTAGTAATAGATAAATTATCACATCAATAATAAAAATAAATGATATTTATGCAGTACTAAATATGGGCCAAATACTGGTGAAAACACCTTTACTTGAATTATCTCATTCAGTCCTTACAACTCAGTGGACAAAAATTTGTTTTATTAAAAATATTTTTATATTGTAAAAGAAATATGTACCATTGTGAGGAATTTATAACAACTGCAAACACTTTGTTGTAATTCTTTTCATTATTTTTTAAACTAAATATATTTGTAGATAATTGAGATAGTACTATGTATAAATGATTTCAAATTTTCTAATGTTGGCTTTTTCACCTAATGTTATATGCTGAGAATTAACCCCCTGTCATTAAAAACATCTCACAACACCATTCCAATAAGTATATTCTGTATATATGACTATGTGTGTGCATGTCTGCTAAATCACTTCAGTTATGTCCAACTCTTTTGTGACTCTATGGACCGTAGACCACCAGGCTCCTCTGTCCATGTTATTTTCCAGGCAAGAATACTGGAGTGGGTTGCCATGCCCTCCTCCAGGGGATCTTCCTAACCCAGGATTCAAATGCACATCTCTTATATTCCTGCATTGGCAGGCTGGTTCTTTACCACTAGTGCCACTGGGAAGCCCACATATGACTATTTGTTGTTTTTTTGTCCTAAGTAGTGTCTGACTTCTTGCAACCCCATGGACTGCAGCATGGCAAGCTTTCCTGACCTTCACTGTCTTCTGGAGTTTGTGCAAACTCATGTTGATTGAATTGGTGATGCTATATAGCCATCTCATCCTCTGCCACCCTCTTCTCCTTTTGCCTTCAGTCTTTTCCATCATCAGGATCTTTTCCAGTGAGTTGGCTGTTCCCATTAGGTAGCCAAAGTTTTGGAGCTTCAGCATCAGTCCTTCCAATGAATATTTAGGATCAATTTCCTTTTGGAATGACTGGTTTGATCTCCTTGCAGTCTAAGGAACTCACAAGAGTCTTCTGCAACACCACATTTCGAAAGCATCAGTTTTTCAGCACTCAACCTTCTTTATGGTCCAACTCTGACATCCGTACATGACTGCTGGAGAAACAATAGCTTTGACTGTATGGACCTTTGTTGGCAAACTAATGTCTTTGGTTTTTAATATGCTGTCTGGGTTTGTCATCGGACTTCCCAGTTGGTGCTAGTGGTAAAGAACCTGCCTGTCAATGCAGGAGTTTTAAGAGATGTGGGTTCAATACCTGGGTTGGGAAGGTCTGCTGGAGAAAGGCATGCAACCCACTTCAGTATTCTTGTCTGGAGAATTCCCTGGACAAAGGAGTCTGGAGGGCTACAGTCCATAGTGTCGCAAAGATTTGGATATGACTGAAGCGACTTAGAACACACGCATGCACTAATTTTGTCGTAGGTTTCCAAACCTGAGTCTCTCCTGCATTGCAAGTGGATTCTTTACTATCTGAGCCACCAGGGAAGCACTGTGTATGACTATACTATAATTTAATTTATTTAATGATTCTTTCATGTTTAACATTTTATATATGCTGCTGCTGCTGCAAGGTCCCTTCAGTCGTGTCCGACTCTCTGTGACCCCATAGACGGCAGCCCACTAGGCTCCTCTGTCCCTGGGATTCTCCAGGCAAGAATACTGGTGTGAGTTGCCATTTCCTTCTCCAGTGCATGCATGCATGCTAAGTCGCTTCAGTTGTGTCCGATTCTGTGCGACCCCATGGACAGCAGCTCACCAGGCTCCTCTGTCCACAGGATTCTCTAGACAAGAATACTGGAGTGGGTTGCCATTTCCTTCTCCATTTTATATATGAGGGTTTTAAAATATAATAAAAATATTTAGACTAATGGCAAGATCTTAGGTAATGGAATTGTTTTGATCTTCCTCCTAGATTCAAAACTTTAACTAATTGATCTGTTCAGGACCTATTCTTTACGTATTTTAGTTCAGTTTAGTTTAATTTATTTCCTTATCTTCACTCTTTTCCCTCTTCAACATAGGAAACATCTATAATGTTTGTACTAGATGCCCTTCTGTATGTTTGTATCATTGTGGCTCAGATGGTAAAGAATCGCCTGCAATGCGGGAGACCTGGGTTAGATCCCTGGGTCAGGAAGATCCCCTGGAGAAAGGCATGGCAACCCACTCCAGTATTCTTGCCTGGAGAATTCCATGGATAGAGGAGCCTGGTGGGCTACAGTCCATGGAGTCAGAAGGAGTCGAACAAAACTGAACAACTGAGCCCACAAACACATCCTTTAAAAAATGTCTACCTCAAGTTGGATTGTTCTGTGGTGGGTATAAATTCATCATGCACTGCAAAGTAAAATTCAAGTGAATTTCATGTATAATGTAATTAACCATTTTAACATGTACAATTTCAATATCATTTAGTGCATTCACAACACTGCAATTACCACCTCACTCTGGCTTCAAATTTCCCAGAAGAACACCCTCTACCAATTAAGAAATCACTCCCCATTACCTTTTCTCTCCATTCTCTGGAAACCACTGGTTGACTTTCTGTCTGTATAGATTTGTGTATTCAGATTCAGTTTAGTTCAGTTCAATTGTTCAGTCATGTCCGACTCTTTGCGACCTCATGGACTGCAACACACCAGGCCTCCCTGTCCATCACCAACTCGTAGAGTTTACGCAAACGCATGTCCATTGAGTCAGTGATGCCATCCAACCTTCTCCTCCTGCCTTCAGTATTTCCCCGGCATTAGGGTTTTTTTTCAAATAAGTCAGTTCCTCGCATCAGATGGCCAAAATATTGGAGCTTCAGCTTCATCATCAGTTCTTCCAATGAATATTCAGGACTGATTTCTTTCAGGATGGACTGGTTGGATATCCTTACTGTCCAAGGGACTCTCAAGGATCTTCTCCAACACCATAGTTCAAAAGCATCAATTCTTTGGCACTCAGCTTTCTTTATAGTCCAACTCTGACATCCATACATGACTACTGGAAAAACCATAGCCTTGACTAGACAGACTTGTTGGCAAAGTAATGTCTCTGCTTTTTAATATACTGTCTAGGTTGGTCATAACTTTTCTTCCAAGGAGTGAGTGTCTTTTAATTTCATGGCGGCATTCACCATCTGCAGTGATTTTGGAGCCCCTCAAAAATAAAGTCTGCCATTGTTTCCACTGTTTCCCCATCTATTTGCCATGAAATGATAGGACCGGATGCCATGATCTTGGTTTTCTGAATGTTGAGTTGTAAGTCAACTTTTTCACTGTCCTCTTTCATTTTCATCAGAGGCTCTTTAGTTCTTCTTCACTTTCTGCCATAAGGTTGGTGTCATCTGCATATCTGTAGTTATTGCTTTTTCTCCCTACAATCTTGATTCTAGCTTGTGCTTCATCCAGCCCAGCATTTTGCATGATATACTCTGCATATAAGTTAAATATGCTGGGTGACAATATACAGCCTTGATGTCCTCCTTTCCCAGTTTGGAACCAGTCGTTGTTCCACGTCCAGTTCTAACTGTTGCTCCCTGACCTGCATACAGATTTCTCAAGAGGCAGGTCAGGTGCTCTGGTATTCCCATCTCTTTCAGAATTTCCACAGTTTATTGTGATCCACAGTCAAAGGCTTTGGCATAGTCAATAAAGCAGAAGTAGATGTTTTTCTGGAACTCTTTTGCTTTTTCAATGATCCATCGGATGTTGGCAATTTGATCTCTGGTTCCTCTGCCTTTTCTAAAACCAGCTTGAACATCTGGAAGTTCATGGTTCATGTATTGCTGAAGCCTGGCTTGGAGAATTTTGAGCATTACTTTACTAGCGTGTGAGATGAGTGCAATTGTGCGGTAGTCTAAGCATTCTTTTTCATCGCCTCTCTTTGGGATTGGAATGCAAACTGACCTTCTCCAGTCCTGTGGCCACTGCTGAGTTTTCCAAATTTGCTGGCATATTGAGTGCAGCACTTTCACAGCATCATCTTTCAGCATTTGAAATAGCTCAACTGGAATTCCATCACCTCCACTAGCT